ATTCCTAAAGAATCTGACTTTTTCCCCACAGGTCCCCTAATGATAAAGCTGAATGAGTTGCTCCCCACTGGGATATTTCATCTCAGTGGAGGAAAACAATTCTGTGGTGGGCCAAAAATCACACCATGGCTAAGGAAATGCAGGGCCCCCCAACACTCATTACCATCCTCTGTGAGCTTTCCCATCTCTGGGACCTCCCCATTTTACTTGGTTTTCTGCAGTGTTTCAATTTTCAATTAGTAACCAATTCCCTTCTACCTGTTTTGTATTTGACAGCTTCTCAAAAAGTGATCAGACAAAATAGGATTTTTAAGCATTCAGCATGCACAGTTGAAGATTAGAAGGAGATTGGAAAAAATTGATGTTTATGGGAAATGTATGTGTATGTGTATATTTGTATGTGTGTACTGTGTCTGTGGTACGTGTGTGCTGTGTCTGTGGCATGTATATATATGTCTGCCTGCCTCTGAGTGTGTGTATGTGTGTGTGCGCACACACGTGTGTGCATGCTTCTCCAGATAGACCTACAGACAACATCTATCTTCCTGGCCTGTGTACTTGGGGGTGATGAATGAGTCCAACAGCCACACAGTGAAATTCCTAGCAGGTGGCAAGACTCAGCCTCTTGTTTGGAGCTTATTTATTTTCCTGTAGCTGAACTTGGGAATAGAGTTCCCAAATTTCACAAGACCGTTGGATTTCCATCTCCAAACCCTGTGTCTCAGTACAATGTCACCCAAACAGTAATGTGCACCAGAATTCTCTAGAAACAATGTTAAAATGGACGGGTTTCCTAAGTAGGTTCAGGACTGAGGAGCCTGCATTTCTAACCAGCTCCTGGGGGCTGTCAATGCTGTTAGTACCTTTGAATAGCAAGGTACTAGAACACAGAGCACAGACATTGGCCAGACATGTCATTGCTCAGAGTTCGGGCTACCTCCTATGGAATTAGTTATTAAATCCTGCGATATTGGACAACTGTTTCTAGCTGTCGTTTATTGATTGCCCCTCTCATCTGGTTCCACAGCTGACATTTTTTTGTTTATATCACACCTTCTTATTCCCATGCAGGTTAACGATTGAATCCAAGAATAGAAATCCTCTTCTCTGAGGGGGTGGTCTTGAAATAGGCAGTGAGGGAGCTGGATGGTTTCCATTTCCTTTGAGCAAGTATTTCATTGCCTTCTGCCATGGCTACCTATTTGTTTTTCTCACAGTAGGTTTCTACCAAGTGGCATCTTACTTCCAACATAAAGAACAAGCATCAGAATGCCTGTCTTTGAATGCATATGAGCTTGTTTTGTTTTTAGAATCCAAACATAGCCACTTGAATCTATCATGTAATTCAAAGGAAACAAGCATTGTTCCAGTCTTTTCAAACTAAGGATTTGTGTGCTTTGGGTATTTCAATTAGGAAGAAAGAAGGCAGGCAAGAACGTAATTGAACATTTATTCTCTGATACTGGAGGACGCGCTGGAATTTAAGAGCCTGACTTTAGAAAGTTTGGCATTTGCTAACTGCAGGTCTGACCTTCATATGAGAACAGTGATGAAAACTCATAGGAATGTCAGATTTTGTTACGGTATGTGATTGGGTGGATAAGGCTATATTTACTAACAACTTCCTCATGCATATGCATGTGCTTAATTTTCATCCACATCATTAATAAGATGATTTTAAAACTACATGAACCTCTACGTAAAACACAAACATTTCCTATTATATATTTTATTCAGTCTATTATGTTTTCCTCTGTTGGGAAAAAGCATGATATACTTCTTTCTCATCTCTGCCTTCCCAGGGACGCATAGGAAGAAAATGTCTTCATTCTTCACTTGGTTTAGATTGTTTTACGCAAAAAAATCTTGTATGGATGTAAGCCTTAACCTACTCCATTTGGAGTTGAGCAGAGCCCTAATTCTTTGACTTGATCTTATACCATTCCCCACTCTCAAATTAGTTCCAAGATCATTCTTACCTCAGAGTCTGCTATTGCTATTCTTGCTGTCTAGAAATCATTTTCTGTGTATTTTTGTATGGCTCTCTCTTTCCACTTTCTTGTCATTCAAGCCTCAGCTGAAACATTCCCTCAGCAATAAGGTTTTCTCCACCATTTATCTCGAATAGGTGCCCCCTGCCCTCCCCCCACCCCCCACCACACACACAGTTTTTCAATCATACTCTATCCAGTGATGGAAATGTTCTACATCCATGTTGTCTAATATGGTAGCTACTACCCACATGTGACTATTGAGCACTCAAAACTTTCCTAGTTTGACTGGAGTACTGAGTTTTTTTCATTTTAATAAATGTAAATTGCAATAGCCACATGCCGCTAGCAGCTACAGTATTTGATAGTGAAGCTTTCGTACTCAAACCTATCTCATGTCCTTCAAAGGCCTCATCTGTGACTGAAATTACCTTGTTCATATCTTTTTCTCTTGTTTATTGTCAGTCTCTCCATGCTAGGGTATCTTTCCTGATAACCACTGGATACCAGGGTGTTCAGCATGATGGCTGACATGTAGTGGGTCCTCAAATAATTTGTATTAAGTTAACTTTAAGAAAATCCCACTTAACAGCGCTTCACTGTTTTTAGAGAGCGTTCCAAAGGTCTTGGCTTCTGTTGATATTATTGTCCTTTGAAAAGTCTGAGAGTCAAACTCTGAATAGTTTTGTATCATAAAATACCATTGGATTGTCTGTTTGCAAAATTGGTTTTCTGAGATTCAGCTCCACATTTTGCATTCATCCTAATCAATGGTGTCTCCTTAGTTTCTGTCTTTCTTTCTATTGTGTTAAGATGGATCTGTTGTCTGCCCTTCCCAGTTTAAGCATATTTGAATATTTGGCAAATGTGAATTCTGATTATCTATCCTACTTGTAACTTGTGATACTGGCCAAGTCTTATAGAATGTAGAATTTTAGGATTCAGATCCAAGATGTTTGTTATCTTTAGGCACGGTGGGTTTTTTTTTTTTTTTTTTTTTTTTGGTTGAGTTAAAGTCAGGTCCTTGGCTATTTTGGGAAGATGAAAAACCAGACCTATGTTATTGCATAAAATTGCCCCAAAGCTTTATTTTGATTGATTTCCTTTGTTAGCAGTATTCTCATAATAGCTTTAAAAAAAACCATAAAAGTATAAGATTTCACTCTCTGTGAGATCTCCTTTGTGTGCAGATATTAGGAGGCTCTGTTCACTTATTTTTTTCTTATTATTTGCATTATTTTATCTGCCCCAGAAATCAAGTGTGTATGTCTGTGTGTGAACTTGCTAGTAAAAGGATGAAGTAATGTTAAAAAAAAAAAAAAGAAAAGAAAAGAAAAAAATTATCTACCCACACATACCTGGTTTCATTTTGCTCACTGCCTTCAAATTCTGTTCATATTTGTATGTCATATATGCATGATGCACCTGTTATTTTGTGTATTTTTAATATTCTAAGTAGATCAGTAAAGTTTAAAAATTATTGTATTGTAACATGTTGTGACACAAACATTCATTCAACTAGTTCGCTTCTACTGGACATTCAGGCGGATACCAGTGTGATTTTATTATGAGAAATAACAATGCAGTGAATCGTTCCAAATATGTAGTGCAAACTTATATAGGATCAGGAGTGGTATAAAACTAGTACAAAGTATGAGTCTTTCATGGTTTCTGTTGAATTTTGCCATGTTTTTGAAAAGGATTATGCTGGTTTACAATACCATCAGGTGGGATGTGACTGTACTGATTTATAACAAGAATGTTTGTCTTTCATTTTTCTAATTTGGGCTCATTTTTGACAATACTATTGATAATTGTAGCAACAATAGCAGCAGTTAATATTCTTGAGATATATGACAGACCCCATATTAAATGCTTTAGAAATATTGTTTATAGTGGTTAAAAATGTGAGCTCTGGAGGCAGACTTCCCAAGGTCAAATCTGGACTCCACCTTTTATCTCCTATTTGCTGTCATTCTGTCCTCTGTAAAAGGATCCAAAGGGTTATTATGAGAATCAAGTGAGATAATTTAGTATAGAACCAAAGCAAGCTCTGGATAAGTGTTTGTTATTATTCCTAATAATGGGTGTTTTTTAAACCCCATTTACAGATGAGAAAACTGAGATCCAGTGTCTTGCTCAAAGTCACACAGATAGGGATGAGTTGTACTAGGATTCCAAATGCAGATGCCCTTTTCTGACCAAAATACTCCTGTGCAGGAACTACCACTTACATCCAAGAAGAAGTATTACTCTTATCACTGAGTTAAATCAAGATTGAATTAAGCACAGAAAATGTGCATGTAAGGTCCCTGTGATTCACTGGAAATGCCATGGTATAATTCTTTGTTTTCAAGACAAACAAAAAGGCTGGTTTTTTTTATGCTACCTTCTTCATTGAGATCTGAAAGTAGTTCCCTGTGGAAGTGATTCATGGTCTTGTGAAATCCTCTGAGACTGTAAAGAGCCTGGTAGGCAGGAATCCCAAGATCTCATTCAGGCCTCTGCAAATTCTGAGTTCCTAGCTTTCCTGAGGAAAGCCCCCTACAAATACTGACCGATTTTCTCCTAAGAGATTGCCATAAACACTTTTGGTTACCTGTTAATGTACTTGGTTCATAACTGCTTAGTCAATTATTTTTATTAGCATAACATTCTTTTTAAGCATAATGATATTGGGAAAACAGAAATGATATAAGCATAATTTCCTGGCTATGACTGTTTATGTTTTGGGTTTTTTTGTTTTGTTTTGTTTCAACTTTCTTTGCAGATTTGATGAATTAATTGTAAATTTCCCAAGGGGGATCTAAAGTGAACTGATCTTTGCCTTTTATTCTGGGATGTTTCATTTCTATTCTAGTCCCAGTGACTATCCATTGAGACCAAAGTTTCAGTATTGCCAAGGGCTCATAAAATTGCTGATATAACCTACTTTCTCTAGAGAACCTTATTTTAGTTTTCATAATGAATTAATATCTTCTTTCTCCCCCAATCTCTTTGCTCAAATAGCTATTTGTGGAGACCACTGATGTCAATGGCAAAACTCTCGAGGGGCCGGTGCCCCTGGAAGTCATTGTGATTGATCAGAATGACAACCGACCAATCTTTCGGGAAGGCCCCTACATCGGCCACGTCATGGAAGGGTCACCCACAGGTATGTCACATTGACTTACCTTTAGTATAATGGCTTGGAGAGAGGCACGCGATGATCTTTGTGGATTCTAGGAACTGTCTTATGGCTGTTCCAACTTGTCAGCTTGTATCAACATTGACTTATTACTTCCCTGCATGGAAGCCAGGTTGGAAAGCTAAAGTGCAAAGCTTGACCAAGGTATTGCAAGCTGTGAAAAGCTCTTTCATTGTCTCTGAAGATGATCCGCCAAGGATGACTGCCATCTAAGTCTCCAAGGCATGGCTAATGTTGGGCACCATGTAAATATCCAGCTTACCTTTTGGTCCAAGGTCCAAGACTAAACTTTGTGCTGTAGCAAGGCTTTGATGAGAATTGGGTCCTCGTTACAAACTCCTCAGTTATTTCTTTTCATAGTGGCCTTTTAATAAGAACTATTTTAGTAAAATAGGTAGGACTTTTTCCCTTCCCTTAGAAGATGTGCATGAAGAAAGCTTTTGTCTTCAGTCAGAGGACCAAAAGGAAGATGTTTGATATCTCTCTCCAGAAATGCATGTGCCTACTGTTATAGAAGTCACTCAAGGTTACTATAGAGCTCCTGGTATCTTTTCCCATGTTTATCCTTTCTATCAGGGATGGTTTTAGAATTTAGAGCTTCCTTTTTTGACCCAATACGTACTAATTAAAGTATGTCGTAGCCAGCAGCTGAAGTCACTCCTGAGTATAAGACTTGAGAAAATGAAAGAATAAAACAGAAAAATTCCTCTTCAGCTGGACTTTGATTTTCATCTTTAAAATACACTTGAGTGAAAAAAAAAAAAAAACACCATATTAAGAGTGTCGTGTTGCTGTTCCTAGATTATGCCCAAGTAAGTAAAATAGTGATTCGTCAGACCAGACAGGAGATGAGAGCTGCCTTTACTATTTTTCCCCCTTTGCTGAATTGATGGGATCTATCAATGACATGTAGATACATGAAACTCTGGAAATGTTACCATGGTAACCTTCCCAGACAACCAGGTGAATAATTGTATGCAAGATGCCTAAAACCTCCTGTCAGCTTCAAGGAGCTGGGTCTTTATGCGTTGCCTCAGATCCCCCAAGGGCAAGATCGACCCTTTTCCTTCCCAGCTTTAAATACACGATGTAGAAATGAGAGTAAATGCATTGCGTGTGTGCCAGAGGGTGTTTGAGGGGAGTGTTGGAGCCAGAGGAGCAATGACAGGTCTAGAGAGAATGAGAGAGGGCAGGTGAAGGGAGGTCACGTCTTTTTAGGGCAGACAGTCCATGTGGACCCTCTCTGTGAGCTGCTTTTGATGGAGAGATGGCTTCTGGTGAGAAACACCCTGGAATTTGGATTTGATGTTTACAGAAATCTTCTTAAACAAGCTGATGTGCAGAACACATTAGGAGAACCAATGAAGAAAGCAATTAAAGAGGCCAAAGTTTGAGCAGAACAGAAAAATGATTCCCAGTTGCTATCTGTGGTACCCGGGCCCTGTGAGTGAGTGACTAGAATTCAGATGGGCTGGAAAAGTGTTCTAAATGTAAATGACAGTGCTTACATTCAGTATGGCTGTGAGTTTGCACATGTCTTTGTATATTATGTGTGTATATGATTAGATGGTGTCCAATTTTCCTCCCACTGTGCCTGTCCTTAAAGTTTAGAAAAGAATTTTAGATTTTATTGCTGTATATACATGTAATATTTTTTGAAGGAAGATAGAGTTCTTTATGCACATTGAATTTCTTAAATCACAGAGTTATTCAGTTAGGGACAGACACTTCTCCTGCAAAACATAAACCACCTCAAATATCTATTTATGATTGGTATTATCCTGTAAAAATACATAAAGACTCAGGTGTCTGTATGGATTCATTGTTTTCTTTTTCAGCACCCTCTGGGTTGGACTGTAGAGCTCGAACTGAAATAGAATCAGTCAGATTTGGGATCCAGAATGTGGAAATGTTGCAAAAAACTTTCAAATAAAAAGCCACTTAGATTACTTAGCATCCTGTAAGAGAGTTGCAGGCAAGATGGCCTCTGAAGCATCCATGAGGCCAGTGGGGATCTGAGGAAGAAGACGGTATCTTCTTTCCAACCTCTTCTTCAATTTAAATCCTTTACAAGTAATGACAAACCCTAACTGGCTATAAAAATGATCGCATCTTATATTTCCATTATGCTGTGCTCTTCTGTGGCTCGTAGAATCCCATGTGTTGTAGAAATTATTTGACACCCTCTGGGGTTGGGGGTGGTGGTGGGGGTAGGGGTGGGGTTTGGGGTGGGAATGGGGGTGGGGGTTGGGGTGGGGCTTGGGGTGGAGTTTGGGGTGGGGATGGGGTTTGGGGTGGGGGGCTGACTCTGGAAAGAGGTCCATGACTTTTCCATGCTTTCACAAGTAAAAGATGGGAGTCAGTGCTTGGGAGCCAGCCTGCATAACCTACCTTCAGATCATGTGCTCTTTCACCTGTCCCACCGAATTCATGGTGAAAACAGCCACCTGGTATCATACACTGAGTAAAGCACTTACTGTGTGCCAGCAGCCAGGAGCTGCCAAAGTGGGGAAAACACACAATTAGCGTCTATGTCTCCAGCTTCAAAATTTGGTGAATGGTTTTGCTTATTTAGCTGGTAAGAGGCTGCCACATGTGCCTCAATTCTCACAAATTCTGGCCACATCTGCACTGGCATCCTACTCAAAAGACTAGTCCAGGTCTGTCTACAATAGGCCACATTTGTTCCCCGGCCTTGTGTGAGTTACAATAAACCCAAGAGCCAGCCGGGTGTGGTGGCTCACACCTGTAATCACAGCACTTTGGGAGGCAGAGGTGTGTGGATCATGAGGTCAGGAGTTGGAGACCAGCCTGGACAACATGGTGAAACCCCATTGCTGCTAAAAATACAAAAATTAGCCGGATGCGGTGGTGGGTGCCTGTAATCCCTGCTACTCGGAAGGCTGAGGCAGGAGAATCACTTGAACCCAGGAGGTGGAAGTTGCAGTGAGCCAAGATCACACCACTGCACTCCAGCCTGGGTGACAGAGAAAGAAGACCCCACCTAGGAAAAACACCCCAAGAGCTACCTGACCCATTGGGTCTGCTCTCTTGTTTCCATGTTTTACACCACAGACTCTGCAGGCCCAGCTTGTGCAGTTCTATCACATGAACTGATTTAGATCCTGACAGAAAATGACTAGTTCTTCTGATGAAATAGTCAGGCCCATTGAATCACATCTAGGGTTCGATAGGGTTAAATGTTGCGGCCCTTGTCGTCACTCACGTCACTTTTTTCTGAGCCCACATAACCAAAGACAGCTTCGTGGGGCGCAGCCCCTGTGGCCTCACACAGCCCAGCGAACAGAAGGGTCCCATGCTCAGAAGGTCCTGGGGCTTGGTTTAATGTTCTGCTGTCACCGTCTTGAAATTCTTAATACTCGTTGAACAAGATGTCTGCATTTTCATTTTACACTGAGCTCCACAAATTATGTGGCTGTTCCTGCTCACAGCATTGTAGCCTAGAGCTGTGTTTGACGCTCTGCTCAGCTATTTAACACGGTGAGACCTCAGGCAAGTTACTGAAACTTCTAGAAGCCTCTGCAAATGGGGATAGAATATAATAGTACCTACCTTAGAGAAGCATTATGTGAGGATTCAGTCAAACAATGTGCTTCACCCAGTGCTTAGGGAATAATAAATGTATAAGGAATGCCTCTGTATTGTTAACACTGCAAATATTATTTTTATTCTGGTAGTGTACCCTTTAGCAAAGGTAAAGCAAAGAGACACATGAGTTGTGTGAAGACAAATTCATCTTCCAACAAACCACGCATCATTTTCACGTCCCCATGTGTTTCAATGCCCTCAGCACCACTCTATCACAAAGGAAGGTCACCCATATTTATCTGTATGTGCAGACAGGAAACGATTCCAGATTCCAGTTGCTCGAGTTGCTCGGCGCTAAACTCCAGGGTATTGTTTTGGTGAATCATTCCTGGATGAAGGAAGATCAACAGAAAATAATGGTCTTTGACTTTGCAGATCATGAGTTGCTCCTTTCACAGAGTCACAGGCATTGATTTATGAGGCCCAAGCCAAGACTCTGAGTGCTCCGTGGGGGCAACCAGATCTCTGTGTGAGTCTGGTGTTTTCTGATGCCCAAGATGTGGTGTTTATGAGTAGGTGTTCATGAGTAGGGTGTAGAGGGTGAGAACTCTTGAAATTCCTAGAGGGTACTAATTCCAAGACCCGATCATGTCTTGTTGGCATCATTTCGTGGGTGTTTTGCCCTCCAATGTTTTCCTGGGCACCTTTGAGAAGGGCTGACCATGAGGAATGGCATCTCAGGCTCCCGCAGAAGCAGGCTCTGAGATGAAGATTGAGGTCTGTGGTTTACCTGAGAGGTACAGGGACAGATACCAGGTAAGGTGAGGAATAGAAAAGAAAGTCAGACAACTTGAGGTGCATTATTATTATAATTTTTGAGACAGAGTTTTGCTCTTGTTGGCCAGACTGGAGTGCAATGGTATGATCTCCGCTCACTGCAACCTCTGCCTCCTGGGTTCAAGCAATTCTCCTGCCTCAGCCTCCCAAGTAGCTGGGATTACAGACACCTGCCACCATGCCCAGCTAATTTTTGTATTTTTAGTAGAGATGGGGTTTCACCACATTGACCAGGCTGGTCTTGAACTCCTGACTTTGGGTTATCCGCCCACTTTGGCCTCCCAAAGTGCTGGGATTACAGGTATGAGTCGCTGTGCCCGGCCCTTGAGGTGCATTATCAAACCAGCTCCCAGAGTGGGCAACTGCAGCTTTATCCTTTTGGGGGAGCTCTAGGAACTGACATTAAACACACACATTAGAGTTATCTCAGCTGCGGGGCAGGTAGCTGGGTTGTCTTCTCCCCCAAGCCTGGTGATGAGACACTGGTTCAAAGCTGTCCCCAAGGGGGGGCTTTAATTTCCAGGCACTTGCAGCCAGCTGTGCACAAGGACAACCTGGGATCCATCAGCTCGAATATCCTG